CTCTGAGCAAGGGTAAAAGGCGAAAAATTCCTTATGCAAAGGAGATACGTGGCTATCTCGCCTCCCCCTGCAGTTAGCACTAAGCAGAGTCATCCACTGTGACTGGCAGCAACTACCTTAGCCTTTTTCCTTTTAATTTTTCTTTTCTTTTCATCATGACACTGGTGAGGCCCCGCCTCCCCTGACTGCACATCTCTGATCCAATAGAAGACAATATATTTAGCTCAGGGTTGAACTCTGGAGTCCTTGATGTTCTTTGTGCTTGGTCCTTTGCTTGCAAACATTTCATTACCCAATTAAGTAACATCATCAGTGCTAGTGAGTATCAGGTTTGCTCCCTGTTCATGTAAAGTAGCCTGCTCTACCAGTGCTGGTGGCAATGTGGTTTTCTCTTTGGTAGTTCCTTGATTAGGGGGTTGACAATAAAATAACAATTGTATGGACAAAAAAATAAAAAGCTAAGAAGGAAACAAAACCCCATCATCCATAGCAACCAACATTCAGATAAGTAGGGATCAACACCAGGCAGTTAGGCAGAAAATAATACCTAATGAAGGAACCACCAAGGAGAAAACAACAGCCTTCCCAATGTTGGCAGGGAAAGCTATTGTACATAAACAGAGAGTACACCCCACATTGCAAGTACCTAGTCAGGTAATGAAATACTTGGAAGCAAACAACCAAGGACTCCATAAAGTACATAATGTTAGCTTTATATGTTCAAGTGTTTCCTTCCTGAAATATTCACTTATAATAAATTGTTTATTTTGCTCCCTTTCAGAAGAGTTTTTGGTTCTTTTCATAAGGAATCTTGCTTCCACACAAGGATTTGTGTTTCTCTGTATTGTATGATATGAACCTAAATTATTTTATAAGTAAAATCTTCTATATTTCAGTATTCTTAGTTTACACATGTGAAAGAGATGAAATCAGACAACCCTTAATTCCTACTAATCATTTGGGAAGCATGATTGGTTAATAAGAGTTTGCTTAAGAAGATTTTGTAGGCAATGGAAAACACACAACTTCCCAAAGGTTTGGTTCCTATCAAATACACAAAATGTATTGAAGATAAACCTCTGAATGGATATAAAAGATACAGAGCAAATCTTTAGTTTTTTTAAATTTATTAATATAATAACATTTTCTTTTACAGGTTATAGTTCTTGGGGTACTGACAACACCAATACTCATGGTAAGAAAATAAATATAGCTACACTAATAAGTTGATTATAACCCTGACTATTTTAAACCTGAGTCACAAAATAAGATTATTTTAATAGCATGAATTTTCAATAGCAGAATATTTTCACAGGCATATGTTGAGAGTAATTTCCTTTCGGTCTTATTAGACTATAGTTTATATCAGATTTCTATTGTACTAATTTGTATCCGAATTCATATAAATTAGCTTTGATTTTATATAAAATTAAAATATTCAGCTGCTTGACATGAATCATTTAATATCCTTTTTATAGGGAGTTTGTTTGTTTCACTAATTCTAACCAAGTTTGTGGTTAGAATTAACCACAAGAGTTTGTTTGTTTCACTAATTCTAACCAATCTAGTTTAATTTCTGATTTGTGTAATATATTAATGCTAAATTTTGGCCATGATATATAAAAAAGAATAACTTCATACTTATTCTAATATGAATTTTCCAAGCTTCTCCCACTGCAAGAAAGAAAGCCCAGTTACCAAGTTGCTTGAAGGGGTTTCAGAAAGCATACGGGGTAGTTCCTAAAACACTGATTTTCAGTTTCACCAAGATTTTAGCCATTGCTTGAAATTAGAATGCAGCCATTTTAGACCAGAGTTGCCCAGCCTTTCTGGCTTTATAGGCCGACAGGATTGGGAGGGGATGGTTCTGCAAGTGGCTGGCAACCGTGCACGCAGCTTCATTTTCACAAGTGGTGTGTACACGCACCTGCCACTCACTCAATTGGAGCACACACTCACCTGCTGCTTGTGCAAGTGGAGATGCATGTGTGTGCGGCATTCATCTGGCATTTTCAAACAGTTCACAGCTCACAGCTCACTATTGAGCCATGGCCCAGAGGTTGGGAACCAATGCCTTAGACCACATAGAGCTTATGCAGATTCTCTATGTGTGTTTATCTTGGAGAGCTCCTTGGTTTTTAGAGGAACCAGGAGATGAAGCAGCAAAACAGATGCTTAGAGCATCATAAGAAGACAAGGCAAAACTTATAATGCAGCCTCCCTCTGGAGTTACAAATAGCACTGAACTTGTTAGCCTGTGAATATTGGCAATTCCCCAGGCTCTAAAGTCAAAATAATGGTGGCATTTGGGCCTAGTATAGCTATGGTTCAGTGTGTTAATAATGAAATTTTATCCATTTATTTTTAATTGATTTATACATTTGGGTTTCTGTTTTTTGGATAGATGAGTCGCTATGTACATTTGTTAAATACAAAACTTGATGTATCTAAGGTAAAAATAAACTTTGTTTCTGTGTCTCACTAAGGTACATATGCCACGAACATGGGAAGTTGGCAGGGTATGTATTTTGCTTACTTTTCCAAAGTTTTGCCTTTCAGTGAAAGAGAATCTGAGGCATTTCCCCACTTTTTTAAAAGAAATAAAGTGACATCTACTTTACTTACATAAGCTACATAAATTCATGTCTTTCTCAATTTGAACTCTGTCATAAAGTATTAATAGTAAAATAAGATCAACGAACTACAACAGTGTTGGTGAACCTTTTCAGCACCAAGTGCTGAAACGGGAGCACGTGCATGCGTGCGGGAGAGCGCTGGAAACTGGAAGAACAGTTTTCTGGCACGCACGTGCTGGAGCACCAGAAACCGGAAGAGCAAGCTTTTAGGTTCTGTTTTTGTTGATAGTGTAACCTATACTTTTTTTTAACCAGGTTATGAAGGTTATGATTATTATGGTGCTCAAGCCAGTAATACTACCACGGCTCCCACATATAACTATGATGCCACTGTTCCCACAACTACCTGGAATACTTCAAAAACTTCTGACATGACAATGGGTACAAGTATGCCAGTTGTAAATTACAATACTGGAACAATGGAGGTAGAAAACTCTGATTCCATCATAGCAAAAATAAACCAGCGTTTGGATATGTTATCAAAGGAAAGTGGCAATGCTGGAGAAGGCATGGAAGATCAGGGAAGGTAATTTAAATTTTATTTTTTAATCAATTTTTAAGACTTGAGTTTTGCAGTAAAATAACTGATGGGATAATGTTGTTTTGCCTGCATAGATTAGTCCAAAGTCAGCCATTTAGATATAATGTTTAAAGATATCATGCTGGAAACAAGGAAGCTAAACTTTAGTCCCACCTTACGCATGAAGGCAGCGAGGTGACCTAAAACCAATCATTTCTTTTCATCCCTAGGAAGGCCAAAAATATCCAAAAATATTTCCAAAAATATTGCCAAGAAAACCACAGCAATTTGTCCAGGCAATTGCCATGAATGAAGTTTTCTCTCCCTCTCCCTGTCCTGCCCCCTCTCTCACACACACCTTCAAAAACACTGGAAGTCTTTAAGAAGATTTGGATAGCCATTTGTTTGAAATGGTATAGGGTTTCCTGCTTAGGCAGGGGGTTGGACTAGAAGACCTCCAAGGTCCCTTCCAACTCTTCTATTGTATGTATCTATAACACCTCCAAAAAGCCAAAACATTTATTTTGATGGAAGGCTAGGCTGTCCCAAGGAAAACTAATTGCTATTTCATATATTGATACAGGAACTTCCTTTCTCTTTTAGAGTGGAATAGTGCTTCAGGCTTGATTTAGAAGATGTTTCATAATGATTAGAGTGCAAATGCTGCACTGATAATTGATTACACAACTTTAATAGTGAATCACATAACTGTTTTTGAGATTGCCATCCTGCACATTTTGAAGTGCCTTATCCAAATCAAATCTGAATTATTGCACTGTTTTAACCTATAGTAGTAGTGTCCTGCTTCTCCAGATAAATCATTACAGCCTTTTAGAATAATGGTCCCCTTAAAGTTGCTACCCAGGTATTTTTTTTAAAAAGTAAATATAAATATTATATAATATTATTTTAAAATAAGAAAACTCTGGGAAAGGGGAAATAATCCATTTGAGCGCATTTCTTGGTTATAGGCCTTCCTTTGATGCTTCAGGTAACTTAACAACAACAACAAAAAGGTTGCAATCCATGTGGGTGGGGGGAAATGGGACTGCCAGTATGGGGCAATGGAAAAGGTGTTGGAAGGACCAAAGTGATCCTAGAAGCTTGCATTGGACAGATACTACCGTGTTTCCCCGAGAGTCTGTCTTATTTTCTTTTGACCCCCAAAATGTTGGTTGGGTCTTATTATCGGGAAGGGCTGATTGTTTTGGGGTTGCCAGGTGGCTGCTCTCATGTGAGTTGGCGCCTGAAAAGCCAGGCACAGCCTCAGGGGCAAACGGCTGTCACAGCAGCGCAACATACCAGCCATGAGGTGACCATGCTCATGAGCAGCCACCCGGCAACCCTCCTTTCCAGCCGGGCAGAGCACCACTCACAGACCCAGTGATATCCCTAAGGCGCTAAGCCGCATGGTGCTCTGCCCTCCCCCCCAGCTCCCGCAACTTGACGCATTCGGGATACCCTTAGGTCAGTGCATGGCGTTTTGCTCGTCTGGAAAGGAAGGTTGTGCGAGTGCCTGTTCCATCCCCAGCTGGTGTGCCTCCCAACCTCATCATGCTCTGACCCAGCTCTTCCTGCAGAGCCACTGTGCCACTGTAGTTGCTGCGCTCTGAGCATAACCTATTCTCTGGCTTCCAAACTCCGGAGATCTGCAGCTGAGTCTTTCGGCAGCGGCTGCTCTGAGAGTACACTCTATGGTTGTAGGCTGGCTGAGTGTACTCCCGGAGCGTACAACCATAGAGCGCTTTTCCCAGAGTTGCAACTTCCGAAAGACTCCGCATCCTACTTCCGTGCTTTGGAAGCCGCAGAAAAAGTCATGTGGTGGTGGCGGCAGCGGAGATGCCCTGACTCTGCAGGGAGAGTTAGGCAAGGGCATCGTGAGGCTGGGAGGTGCGCGAACGGGAAGCGGAAAAGCGCAACCCCCCTCTCCAGCCATGCCGAGCCCCATTCACTGACTATGGGCATTCCGAAGGCGCCAAGCCGTGGGAGCCGGAGGACGGCAAATAGGCGCGCATGCGGCTTGGCAATACCCCTAGGTCAGTGAATGGCACTATGCCTGGCTGGAAAGGGCAGTTGCTGGGCGGCTGCTCGTGAGCATGGTCACCTCATGGCTGCTGTGTAGTGCTGCTGCGACAGTGCAACACAGCCGTTTGACCCTGAGGCTGTGCCTGGCTCTTTGGGAGCCCACTTGCAAGAGAGCAGCCACCTGGCAATCCCCCTCTCCAGTTGGGCACAGCACCGCTCACTGACATAGTAGTATCCCAAAGGTGCCAAGCAAGGCAAGCCTTTGCCCCTCCACCCTGTTCCTGTGGCTTGGCACCTTCGAGATACCGCTAGGTTGATGAGTGGTGCTCTGCCTGGTTGGAGGGTGGGTTGTCCAGCAGGCTTATTTTTGGGGGAGAGCTTACATTTTTGCCCACCCAAAAAATGTAGCATGGCCTTATTATCAGGACATGTTGTATTTTCGGGGAAACACATTATCTTCAGTCCAACCTATCAGGATAGTTGTGGAGCGAAATGAGGGGATAGAGTGTTCTGTAGACTGCCTTGAGCAAGATTTGAGTCAGTCACTGGGACCAGAGGTTTACTCTTCCAAGGTTTCAGACTTGTTCTATAACATCTTCAGGGAACTTCTCTCTATTGGAATATGTGTTTTGGGCTGTTCTATGAGTTGTGTTTATGTGGTGCCTTCCAAGTGCTTGATTGGTGTGTTAATAGCTGGCAATTGGCTGTTGTTTCCTTGATCTGCCAATCTCTCAGCTTCTAAGTACCTGATAAGCTGGTGGTAAATCAGCAGTCCTGTTGACTGACAAGGGGCCCCATTTCCCAGGCTTTAATCACTTCCCTGGCTGTCTTTGTAATTGCATGGCCAACCATCTTAGCAGCTGCAAAATTGAATGTATGTCCTTGTTCATTTTAATGTGAGGCTATCAGTGGGTTCAGGTCTCCTCAAAGTCTCTGACATGAGCCCATGATAAAAATTATGGAGTATTTACTCATAAATCTTATAAAGAGTATAAAATTGTTGTCCAATACATCAGATGACAAATCTGTTTTGCCCATGTTATCAGTTCTGACTGCTTAGAGGCTCAGATGTAGTTCATTCCTAGCCTAACTACTTCACAACCTGTCAAGGAGTGATGGCTGTGGATTTCTGCACAAATGACAGATAGTTAGCTGTTCAATAGATTTTGTTGTTGCAACTAAACTGACATCCCCAACATGGGAATTGGTAGTTCTTTAAAATCTATTCTAGTTACTGACTGGATTCTTTACTTGTGATACAGCTCTTTCAGATTTGAGTCTTTTGAATCATACGACTCTAGAGCCGCAGTTCCTGACCGTGATCTGTACAAAACCAGCTATGACTATGATACTTTTGGAAGCCACTATGATGGTCCTGATAACCGCAGAGATCAACCTGGTAACAGAGGAAACAACTATGGTTTTGTTAGAGGGAGGGTCCAAAATCGAGGTCGTCCAAACACTTTCAATCGTGACCACTTCATGCCCTCAAGTACAGAACGGCTGTCTACACACTGGAATGAAATGAATTACATGGGCGGGAGGAACATGGGAGGACCTGGACCCAACAGGCTTCCATCACTTTTTTCTCGAGCACCTGTCCCTGAGTATAGGGATTACGGTGATTATGGCGACTATGGCGACTATGGAGAGTATGGCAACTATGGGGATTATGATTATGGCATGATGGGAATGCAAGGAATGGGAAGGATTCCTGGGAACATGCCCTATGGATTCGGCAGAACACGTGGCAGAGTAAGTTTAACATGCTAATACTGGGTACTCTCATACCTATTTTAATAATTATAAATGAGATTACTTCAGTAACTAAGAAAGTTGTGATAGTCTTATCATTTTTACATTGTCAAATGCATACAGCTTATTTTTTCTCTTTCCTTGCAATTTTTTAACTTTTCGTCGGAAATGATGTTGATAAGGTCAGCAAGGAATAGTAAGAAGCATTCTCAAAATCTTCTCTGGTACATTGCTGGTGTCAATAAATGGGCCAAGAATGTTTTGTTCAACTTGTCCCTAGCCCAAGAGGAGAGCTTTCCGTGGTCGTCTAGGTGGGCGTTCAGATAATGAAGGCGGGTTATACAAGCGGAAACAACCCCAAAGTGGAGAGGAACCTGACAGCAAGCAGGCAAAGACAGAAAGTGAAAGAGATGACTCTGACAATGGTAAACATTCAATTTATTTTGAGATTTGGATGCATTATTCGCTGACCCTAATACCTAGCTTCTAATCTATTATAGTATACCATGGCAACATCCACATTCAGTAGAAATGCTTCTCTGTAACTCAACCTCACAGCATTGTCTTTTTTTTATAATTTAGTCATTTTTAAAATAATTATAATTTTTCACATCTAGATGAAAAATAGTTCAGAAAAGAGATCTTGTGCAGTTTTTAAACAGTGAGTGAGAAATAAAGGTACTATTGCTTTAAACTGTTGTTTGGACTGTTGAAGAATAGAAACCATGCATTCACAATAGTTTTATATTTTGTGTATTGACAGATGATGGTGATGAAGACAAGTCAGGAGATGGAGATAAAGGTGTAAGTACCTTTCCAAAATAAGAGAAAAAAATATTGTAAGTAGTTGTTTTCAGACATGTCTTTGAAACTAAAACTAATATAAATATCGTATGAGTTATTCTCCCCTTCATGGATTACTGCCTTGTCATGGCGAAGGGGCTTGCGTAGCTCAATGAAGCTATGAGCTATGCCATGCAGGCCCACCCAAAACGGACAGGTCATAGCAGAGAGCTCTGACAAAATGTGATCCACTGGAGAAGGAAATGGCAACCCACTCCAGTATCTTTGGCATGAAAACCCCATGCACAGTACCAAAAGGCAAAAAGATATGATGCCGTAAGATGAGCCCCTCAGGTCAGAAGGTATCCAATATGCTACTGGGGAAAAGAGAAGGCTAGTACTAATAGCGCCAGAAAGAGTGAAGCGGCTGGGCCAAAGGCGAAAGGATGCTTAGCTGTGGATGTATCTGATGGAGAGCCGAGGTGGCGCAGTGGTTAAATGCAGCACTGCAGGCTACTTCAGCTGACTGCAGTTCTGCAGTTCTGCGGTTCAAATCTCACTGGCTCAGGGTTGACTCAGCCTTCCATCCTTCCGAGGTGGGTAAAATGAGGACCCGGATTGTTGTT